CCATCACCACCATCACCATTAGCGTCAGCACCCCCAGGAGGCATCTCAGCACTTCTCACACACAGAGTACTGGGAACGGAGAACCCCATAAGTCATAGTCCTTTTACTTTAATTGCTGACAGGGTGGCAGTAAAAAGAAAAATAGGCAAAAGAGATTCATGTGTTTACTAAATTGTCGATGTCGCTCCCGGCCGGCAGGAAGGACACACGACAAAGTCTGGCAGTGGACAACCTTTTCTTTTATTTTCTCTCCGTACAGCCTGCCCTGGGATCGCTCCCAGCCGAAGCCTCCTCTGGTCCGCTCCCCGCGGCTCCTTCCGTGCTTCGCTCCGAAGCCTCTACCGGTCCGCTCCCCGCGGCTCCTTTCGTGCTTCGCTCCGAAGCCTCTACCGGTCCGCTCCCCGCGGCTCCTTTCGTGCTTTGCTCCGAAGCCTCTACCGGTCCGCTCTCCGCGGCTCCTTCCGGGCTTCTACTTCCCCCCAGGGGTGGCACCAGTATATATACGGATACAGTGTCCAATCATATTAAAGTAAGCAAGGCAAGCTGATTGGCTAACATATTATTGAGCGGGTTGTTTACGCGGTAAGCAGGAAACTAACGTGCTCGATGGGAGGGGTAATCTAACTCAGGCTTTACTCTTTACCACAGGCCGCATGATCGCTATATGCGGCGGCTCGGCAATGTGGTGGCTCCCAACATCTCCCCCTTTTTTATTTTAAATAAGTCTACGCATCGCAGCCCATCCTGAATTGAGTGTAGAGGCCTGTGCCCTGATAGGAGGCCCACCAAGGGCTCTCGGCGTCGGCCCGGGTCGGCCGTCCCCGAGTCTGCCGAGGCCCCGAGGCCCTCGTCCTTTTTCCAGGGCCAGGAAGGAACCGGACGGAACCTGGATGCACACAGGCATACACTCATGTCGCTCCGCATGATCCCCCCGGGGTGACATTTGGTTTGGGCGGAACCTAGTAATTCAGCGACTTTCGTGCGGTATGGGGTAGGGCCTGTCTTAGGTTGAGTCATGCTGGGGAGGCATGCTCTTACCCGTCATTGACTCATCTACCCTGCTATATCATAATTTTTTAGAGGAGGAGTGTGGGAAGCTCACCGTCCCTAGACTCGGTCGTAGGCTAGGCGAGCGAGCCATGCATATGCCTGAGGATCTTCTTGTCCATTTCGGGCTACCGCTATTTCTATTCATCTTGTTGGTTGGTCTGTGATGGATCTCCGGTAGGGCAGGTCTGATCTTCAGTCGAGGGCTTTGTCGCCCGTGTCAGTCTCTCCGGTACCCACAGTGGTTCTCGTCCCGATTTCTGCAGAAAAACACAAACCGCGCCTCGGTTCCAGCTGATTACCGGATCCGGGCCCATCCATTGTCATGCCATAGATAACCGCGCCTTTGGAGGCAGGCCTTGGCTTACTCCCCCTTTTTGTTTTTTATTTTTTATTTTTTATTTTTATCTTTTTTTTTTTTTTTTTTTTTTTATTGGTACCAGGGATCGAACTGGCGATTGCCTGCTTACAAGGCAGGCGCTTATGCCGCTGAGCTAAATCCCCAGCCCCCATTTCCTCGACCGGCGTTTTTCTCAGCCTGCTAGGCAGAGTAGCCGCCCATGAAAATACCGTCCGCCCCGCGGCGCAACGTCATAGGACAGCGGTCGCGACAGAGTGGAACGGGGCGTCACTTCCTGTGCCGGCTGAGAGAAGGGAGGGTTCCCTGTAGCGGCCTCTCGGCGGGGAGCCGCTTCTGGAGAAGAGCTCCAGGGTGGAGCGGATGGCTCTCTATCTCCTCCCCGCCAGAGGGCTCTCGGGGGTCCTTTTTCCTCTCTCTGCTTTTTTCGAGCGGCGCACGCACACAATTCGCGGCGCAACTCGGCATAGGAGTCAAGGCACGCATGTATCATTTCCCACAGGGGGCGAATAGCCAGCGAAATACCGCCTCCCAATTCTGCCGAGGCAAGGTCCCCGCCTAACTTCTCCCATGACGGCAGGTTTAAATGCCCCGTGGGTAAAAACCAGGGAGCCACCCTATCTATCTCTGCTATGAATAGTTCTAGTGTTTTTTGACCTACCCTGAGGTCTCTAGCTTTTAAAAGCTTCCTAAGGGCCTTTACCAAGGGCCACGCCTCCGCGCTCGGTAAATTACCCATCCTCAACCTCTAAGGGCTGTAACTCACCGCGTGTGACTTAAAGAACCCGTCACCTACGCCTGAGCCTGAGGGGAGTCTAAAAGCCCTGTAGGTGCGCGCCACCCAGAGCCCAGGCTTATCCCCAACTCACCTGTCCGGCAGCACCACGCTGGAGCGTTGCACACCACCGCCGTGTCTCGGGGTTGATCAGTCCCCGTGCGGGTCACCAAATGTCGATGTCGCTCCCGGCCGGCAGGAAGGACACACGACAAAGTCTGGCAGTGGACAACCTTTTCTTTTATTTTCTCTCCGTACAGCCTGCCCTGGGATCGCTCCCAGCCGAAGCCTCCTCTGGTCCGCTCCCCGCGGCTCCTTCCGTGCTTCGCTCCGAAGCCTCTACCGGTCCGCTCCCCGCGGCTCCTTTTGTGCTTCGCTCCGAAGCCTCTACCGGTCCGCTCCCCGCGGCTCCTTTCGTGCTTTGCTCCGAAGCCTCTACCGGTCCGCTCTCCGCGGCTCCTTCCGGGCTTCTACTTCCCCCCAGGGGTGGCACCAGTATATATACGGATACAGTGTCCAATCATATTAAAGTAAGCAAGGCAAGCTGATTGGCTAACATATTATTGAGCGGGTTGTTTACGCGGTAAGCAGGAAACTAACGTGCTCGATGGGAGGGGTAATCTAACTCAGGCTTTACTCTTTACCACAGGCCGCATGATCGCTATATGCGGCGGCTCGGCAATGTGGTGGCTCCCAACACTAAATAAACAGTTTTAGGGCGGGGATTCATCTCGCTGTGTATGCGCCTGCCTGACACGCTCAAGGCCGTGAGTTCCATGCCTGGTACCAAAGCAAGCAAACAAGCAAACACACAACCGGCGTGATAAAATTCGGTGTAATTACAGGTTGGTTGGGAGGTGCACAGGAATGTTCAGGGCAATAAGAACTTTCATACCCATTTTCTCACTTAGTTTTAACCTCCATGGCAGGAGACAGATGCCCAGTGACACACACACGCACACACAGACGCACACTCTCAGGGAGCACGGGGCTCTCCTAACGCACACGGCTGTTAGTTTCAGAACTGGCCCAGGAGTCCCAGGAGTAGCACCCCGGCCGAACTGCCGTGCACCTCGATGCTCGCACGGACGGTATCTTCCCTTGCCGTGTGAGGGTGCAGGAGGCAGAACCGGGTTTCACACTGAGACTGAGGCGTCACCACACACATCTCGTGCAAATGACCCCAAACCTGCGAGAATCCTGGTGTGACACGCCTCGGCTTGGCTAAGGGTCCTCACCCCGCACTGGAGGTTTACGGGCCCCCCTTCCTCCCTTCCTTCCCCCTTTCCTTCCCTCCTCCTTTTCTTCCCCACGCCCTCTTTCTGCGCGGTGCTGGAGACGGATTTCAGGGCCTTGCCGTGCCAGGCGGCAGCTATGCCAGTCGCCCCCTCAGCCCAAATGCTTGGATCTTCAGGTCAAGGGGGCACACAGGAGCTCTTAATTGTGGGGTGCTTTTGTCTTTCACCAGCAAGCCAAAAGACAGTAATCTCACAATGTTTGGACCCATCCTAAAAATGCTAAGCAGAGACATGTGACATTAATTTCAGTAATGCATTTAGTTTAACCTTAAATATCCAAAATATTATTATTTCACAGTGTAACTGACTGTGGCATTATTGAGAGATTTCACGTTTTTGACACTTTTCTTTGCAGTGGGGGTGCGCTCTGTGTGAGGAGCCCTTTCAGCCCGGGCGTCCACAGCTCTGGGCAAAGCATCTCTGAGCACCCTCCCTGCGCTAGTCTGCCCTGCTCTGAGCACCCTGCAGTTAACTCTGGGCTGGGCCTTAAATGCTGCACCTGTCCCCCACTGTTCGGCGAACCCCGTTTCGGCTGCGCCCCACGCCTGTCTGGTGTTAGGCTTCCTCGGCACCCAGTCCTCCCCGATGCTGTGCAGCCGGTGGAGTGGCCCACAGCTGCTGGCTGCTAATGCTTTGGGGTGAAGTGGGGGGTGCAGTGCTCTGCAGCAAGGGAGGGCGCCCCGCACAGATGGCTCTCCCTGCCTCTCTCCACCCCTCACTGGCTGCTGGAGAGCAGGCCCCTGGGGCTCATGGGGTGGGTGACCCAGCAGAACAAAGCAGGCCGGGACAGTCTGGCCCTTTTCCTGTGGGCGGGTGGGCAGGGAGAGTGGCCCCAAGAGGCAGCCTGCCTTCGTTGCTGACCCGTCCCCAGGTCTGAGATCCACCACCCTGTGAGGTGGGGGTGGGCTGTGGTGGCCTGGAGCTGGGTGGGTGCTGGGCCGGGCAGTCCGTGCTGCCCCCTGAGGTGGCCACAGCCTCCCACAGGGCCTCTCTCAGCTGTTCAGCCATTCGGCTCTGGGCTTCACTGATGAGAACCGCAGAGAGCAAGGGGGTGGTGGAGCTCCCGGAGGCAGCCAATGACGTCACTGGGGCGCAGGGGTCCGGGCTTCCAGGCCCCCACGGGGCAGTGGCTCTGGAGGCTGAGCGCATGAGAAAACCAATGACCCCACAGCGTCTGTGAACTCGGATGCACCGGGGGGGGGGGGCGTGGCCCCCCCAAAGAATCAAAGCGGAGGATGGGCAGCCACCACCTCGGGGTGGGGGGACCTGGGCTCCCTGGTGATCTCCACTGCAGATTCGGGTTTATAGGTTTTCAAGTGACTGTCCCCTGCCCCTGGCCAGAATGGAGCTCCCTGGGCAGCGGGGGAGGCGGACTGGACAGGAACGAGGGGGCGGTGGCGGCCGTGGAGTGTGAGAACGGAGGCCGCTCCGAGCGACTGGCTGTCTTTCCCAGCAACTGGAATTCTCCACGGGACCCATAACTCATCCGCAGAGCCGCCTGGAACCGGCCGCGCGGCTGCTGCCCGAGTGACCGGCCGTGATGACGTGTGTGTGGCCGTGTGTGCGGCCCTGGGAGCAAGAGTGATTTTCAGGGGGGTCAGGAGGCTGTCGGGTGCTGGAGCCACCCTCCCCCCTCCCCGGGGTCCCCGCCAGCCCTGGCACCCCCTCTTCCCTGCGCTTGGAGAGCCCCGAGTTCCAGAGTCTCAGCGCCTCCCAAACCTATGTTTTCATTAGCAAAGCAATATGTAATAATAGTTGTTAAAATAATTGTATTTCTGTTTTTACATCTGTAAAGATTAAGTTAAACAGTACGAAGCCCATTAAGCCGTTTCGCGACGCGCTGCCGTCAGTTGGCCCCGGTTCCCACTGCTACTATGATTGCAGACTGGGCTTGGGGATGGGCGGCCGCCAGGCAGCGTTATTTATAGCGGCTCATTCATCAATAGGAAAACTTCAAAAGGGATCTGCTGCTCTTCTCGGGGAAGCCAAGGAAAACTCGGAGAAAGATGGCCTGTGAGGAAGCAGACCTGAGGCCAGCGCGGGCTTCCAGAGCAGGAGAGGACCTGATGGGCCCGAAAGCACACTGCTGGCACCAAGAACCGGCTGAAACCACTCGGTTCCCGTTGGATGTTAAAATAAGCTGTTAAACGGTTGTATTTATGTTGGCTTCAAAGGGCCAGGGCCCCCTCTTTGGGTTTTAAAAAATGTAATAGGTTTGGGATCTTAACATATCAAAGCAAAGCTTCTTCTGGAGCGAGCCCTGGAGACCCGGTCCTCCTCGGCCCCTGACTGTGGTTTGAACCTGCAGCTTTCTTGGCTCTGGACGAGGTCAGCTGGGAGCGTCTGAAGGTGTCACTTGCTGTGGCCTTGCACTGCCCTTTGGATAGAAAGCTCTGTTCCATCGATCCATTCTACAGGTGGAGAAGCTGAATCGGGGGGCGTCTGTCCATAGCTGAGTGGCTGGACAGCACACGAGGCCCAGCGTGGGACCCCATCTTTGGGATGACGGTGACGTCTGCAGTGACAGGATTCCTTGCTATCAGGTCTCTCTGGAAGGTGACTGGATGTTTCTGCTTGTCATTCTCAGACCTAACGACACCAGCGCGGCACAGCTGCGAAGCCAGCCTGGAAGCCTGGGTGTCCGACCTGGGCGGCCTGCCTTTCTGTCCCCATCCGCCAGGTCCAGCACCCAGCGTGAAGCACAGTGTTGGAGATGCTGTCTTCGGGGCGGAGGCTGCCGTGTCCACATGTGACAGCACGGCTGTCAGCACCCCAATTACTGGGTAATTAGCCTGTGCCGGGAGTCCGTCCAAGCGAGAGCACCCAGCCTGGGTCTCTGCTTCCCGCCTGGCCACCTCGCCTCTCGGGGCTGGGGTGTAGCCCAAGGAGCCCAGGCTCAGCTCGGCTGAGGCTCACTGGCAGGAGGCTGGCAGTGCTGGGGTGGAACCCAACAGGGGACACCCCACTCCAAGGCCCAGCCAGCTATGGGCGAGGGTGCTGCATGGGCGCCTGCAGGGGCCACATCTTTGTGGCACTGAGTGGCAGGCAGCAGAGGGGCCGAAACCAGCCTGGCCCTGCCTGCCTCGAGCAGCGAGCCCTGCGTGAAGACGGCCGGAGGCCCAGAGCTGCCCTATCTGGGCTGCCATCTGTGAGCGGGGTACCCAGCAACCAGCCTCGGGGAGCCTCTGATTTCTCATTCCACAAATGGGGCTGACGACACCGAGGTGGTGCCGGGGATTAGCGGAGTGAGGTCATTTGTGTACCGTGCACAGGGCCGAGGTAACCACAGTGGGCTGGCCCCAACCCCGGGAGATGCAGCCCCGTCTAGCCATCCCGGATCCACAGACAGCCAGAGAGGCTGGAGCGCTGGTGCCTGGCACAGCGGCGGGAGCAGAGTGCGAGGCGGACGCGGGTGGCTGACGCAGGTGGCTGGGCGCCGGGGTCTGCTCTCCCTGCCACCGGCTCTGACCACCTCTTCGCTGTGCTGGGTAAACTGTGGAAGGCGCCCGCTTGGCCGGGGCCGAGGTGAGCATCTGTCCAGGCTGTACACGTGTTCCTCGTGCTGTCCCGGGAGTCCATCCTCAGGGATCTCTGAGCCGTGTCCTCTGATGGGCCGTGGGGTCGTGCCCCTCCTCACTGTGCGTGAAGGGTGTCAGTCACAGTATGCTTGTCCTGGGCTGCTGCAAGACTGGTTCTCCAGTCCCATTTTACAGGCCGGGTTTAAAAGCGCCTTCCAGATTCAGGGTCCTGCTGTTCACACCGAGCTGTGACTGCCCTGCTCGCTTGGCCGGAGCCCTTCCGGCCCCCCGTGGGTGCTGCGGGGGGGGGGGAGTCTGGTGGCAGCCGGGCAGGGGACAGGGACAGCTATGGTTTGCCATTTCCTTCCGCACAGTCACGCACCTGCAGGAAGAGCCGGTGGCTTCAGGGACCAGGCCCACAGGGTGCCCAGCTGCAGCTGCTGGCCTGGTGAGTGGCTGGTGGGCTGGCGGGGTCCCCGTCCCCGACCGTGTGATCAGGGCTCGCTCAGTGGGGTCTGTTCCCAGCCCCGCTGTTGGCGCTGGCCGAATTCAGCTGTGTTTTGGACTCCCTGACCACCTCATGCTGTTTTCCAAATGCCTGGGGTTTGATAAAACCAAAAGACACTCACCAAGCCCTTTCCCCCTTCATTTTTAAGCTCATGTGGATTTTAAGGGAGAATTTAATCCAGATGTTTCTAATTCATTTGCTCTTAACTCATCAAAACTTTGTATCAAAAAAATAAAAAGCTATTTGATGTCCAAGGAGCTTTTGGAGTTGGGTTTTAAACCTTTTAAAGCCTCCACTTCCCAGCTTTGAAATGAGCTGTTGGCTTTTGCCAAGCATAAATGAACCCCGGCCCAAGAAAGGTTCATGTTTGGTTCACAATTAAAGAGCCGTGAATTCTCAGTGGGCTGTGAAATGGGCCAAACCCCGTGTCCTTTGAAGACCCGTCGGGGTGCCCTCTCCGGCACAGGACCCGTCCGCAGCCTCGTGAAGGGGCCTCCCCGAGGGGGACCCCAAAATCCGTCTCCATGGAGTGGTTTCCTTCCACCCAGAGAGAGGTGGCCCGCAAGCCTGGCTCTGGCTCAGCAGAACGTCGCCCCGGAGGCTGCTGAGGGTCCCAGAATCCGGGTTGTTCTCCGCTTCTTTTGATGGAGCTTTGAACACACAGGAGGGCAGGGTCCTTGGGCAAGCTGGACCCTCGCTGGCCTCGGCAGTGGTCAGCTCGGTACCGATCGGGAGGGTTCAGAGTCCTGGCCTGTGTGTCATGTCACTGAATCAGTCGGCCAGCATCTGTCTCTGCCGGGAAGGGAGCGGGATCTCTGCAGGCCTTGCCATCGTCTCTGCTGTGACTCGGTTCCCTCCAGCTTTCCTGCTCCTCCCCGAACACTGGCTTCTCCGAATCACAGTCCACACGTTGCGTTTGTTTCAATCCTTGGCTCCGTCCTCCTCCCTCTTCCCCTGCTGCTTTTTAAAATCTCTTTTACTTTTTAAATTACCTTTTTTCTTTTGCATATTGTTTTTATAAAAATTACATGTAGGTTAAACAACATTCAATTTTGATTTCTACAAGCCCTTGTTTTCCTGAGTTTAGAGCAGCGCCCTGGCCCGCTGTTCTGCTGTGATGGAGGCTGCGGCTGCCTGGGCCGGCTGGGCTTGGTCCGGTGAGGGCCGGGCGGGCGGCAAATCCCTCCAGCTTTTGGGACGAAGGTTTCTTTCTGTATCCGCTCAAGCCAGGCGATCCTGTGTGCACCTGAACGACTGTGATGTGTCTCAGTAAAATTTTACTTATTGACCCTGAGTAGTAAATTCAAACATTTTTATGTGATGCACAATATTCCTCCTACAGTTTTCCCCAAACATTAAAAAATGTGGAAATTAATTTTAGCCCACAGGCTGGGCTGGGTGTGGCCGCCACGGCGCTCAGATCGGATCTCGGACAGGATTTTCCAGCTTGGGTTGCCCTTAGTGGGATGTTTCTGTCGTGTGTGACGCTGGGGACGGAATCCAGGGCCCCTGCCTGTTAGCACGGGCGTTAGCTCCGGTCTCCTGTGTGTGTGTGTGTGTGTGTGTGTGCGTGCACACGCACGCTCTGGCTGTGGGTTGTGTTTTGGAGCTGAGTGTGAGTGTGTGGGAGGTCTGTGTGAGAGTGGCTTCCCCTTTGGGGGACCGTTAGCAGTCACCCCTCTCCGCACACTCTGCTCCCCTTGTCCTGGTCCTTGAACCCCTCGGGGGACACATCTGGGTCCCATCTCAGGGGTTGACCGGGTCCAGTGGTGGCATCTTGCATGACTGTCTTCATGACCTGTTCAGTCGATATTGCCCCCGAGGCCCGGGGACCCTGAGTGGGGCTCTTTGCTCTAATACACCCAGAGGAATCACTCCAGATTTGGGGGGCACCGCACGCGAGCAGGGGGGAGAGGTGGGGAGAGGGAGGCCAAGTCTCATTGCTCTCCAGGCCTCCCCCCCAGCACATCACCTGGCTTTTCGGGGGGCTGCCTCCCCTCCCCAGCCTCTCAGGGCCTGCAGGACCCGGGGAGCCCCGAGAGGGCCTGTGGCTCATGGGTTCCTCCTCCTTGGACACATGGCATCGGTGTCCCCCACAGCGGCTATCAGTGCCCCCCACAGCTCTGGGCGCCTCCAGAAGGACAGAGAGGTCTTCTCATCTAGTTGGAAAAACCTCCCAGCCTTTGCTCGTGGGGTGGGGGGACGATTTTCCAAACACCAAAGGGAAGAGCGATGCCATTCTGCGGGCTCCAAACAGCAAGGTCACCCACCTTCTCCCCGTGCAAACTTCATGTCCTGAGTGAGGAGGGGGAAAAGAGTGGACAGCAGCTGTCCGGGGCTGGTGTGGGCCGGGAGCAGGAGGCTCTGCACGCTGACCTCGCAGGGGCCGAGTGCCCAGCACGGATGCAGGTGTCCGCCCTGCCAGGCCGATGGCATTACCGAGGCTTTGGCCTGGCCGCCAACCTCCTACCCGGGACGGGCAGGATCACGCCATGAGGACGGTGCAACAGGGCTTAGGGTTGGCTCTCACCGCGCAGGGGCTCGAAGTCCACCTCGGAGAAAGGTGGAAGGGACACGGTGAGCGGGCAGGTGGAGGGTGAGGGTGCGGTGCCACCCTGCTGTTGAGGCCCTGGGATTGCTCTTCTCCCCTCCCCCTCCCGTCCCCCTTCTCTAAAGTCTCTCTGTCCTGTTTGTTTGATGCATGAACGCGGCGGGGTGGGGAGAGGAGAAGCCACTCATGGTCACCACCGGGTACACTAGAGGCCGGGCAGCCTGGAGGCCAGGGAATCCTCCGGGAGACCGCAGGGCCAGGCTCCACCCCCGAGCCACCGTGATTGGTCCACCTCCAGACACCTCACTAGCACTGGGCCAATCGGAGCCATCTCAGGTGGTCTTCCCTGGACCCACAGGAATCCTCTTTGTCTTGGTGTCCAGCGCCTGGAGGGTGGACCGGGCCCAGGGGTCACTTCCTGTTCTCTCTGAATCACACCCAGGAGCGGCCTAGTTTGGCCTGCGACCCTCCTGGAAGGATAAAGAACAGGATATGGGCCTGAGAGGGGGAAACATTTGCTTCCCAAGGCCCTGGTAAACCGTGTGCGGTGGCTCATGCCTGTATCCCGGCACTCTGGGAGGCTGAGGCAGGCAGATCTCAACTTGGCGATTTAGCAAGACCTCATCTCAAAATAACACGGAAAAGGGAGCTGCCAGTTTGCACTGGATTTACATTACTTTCAACCAAGGACCTGACTAAATATATTGATTAAAATTACACTTAAAACCACATACTGGATGACTCCCCTGGTGTCTGGAGCGCAGGGAGCCTCAGGGAGATGTGGGTGGTCGGTGGCGGTGGAGTGGCTGTGGGTGGCACCTTCCTCCCGAGTCCCCTCAGCAGAGTCCTCTCACGGGCGATGCCGGGCTCGGCCCCCTCCTGATGTCCTTGCTGTGCGGCCCCTTGGAGTCTGGTGATCTGTGGCCTCTGCGCCCCCAGCTCGGTGTTTCCAGGATCGGCTCTTCCTCCACGCATCCTTCCGCGGTGCCACGGCCTCGTGCGTCCCCAGGACGTTCCCTGCGCCCAGCGCTGGGGTTGCAGCCGCCCCGACTCTCGGCAGGCGGATCAGCTTCCTCTTCTCGCCTGTCCCGTCTGTGCTCCGCTTGCGCCTGGCATCTCTCCCTCTTCCTTTTTCTGGGGAAGATGACGGTGTCTGGAAATCAGACCAAGTCTTGTGCGCAGGGGTGGGGGGATGGGAGGTGGGGGGTGCGCAGGGGATGGGGGAGTGGGGGGCATGCTTTCATCCCCGAGCCACACCCAGTGCTAGCATCTCCCCTCCACACTGCGGATGACCCTGTGGGCGTGTCTGAAGTGGGCATTCCTTCTTCACCACAGAGTAGTATTCCCTGATGGGGATGACTAATAGCTGACCCATCTCTCCAGTCGGGGTTTGATTCATCAGCAGCTCCTGACTGTGAGAGTTGAGGGTTCTGAGCTCTGGAGTGCTCAGACCGTGGCCTCTCATTTCTATTGGGCAGATGCTCAGAGGAGGAACTGGGGACCCGTGGGGTCTGCATCTCCTCAGCTTTGGTCCATCCCACTGGACAGTGTCCTGGGAGTCCGAGTGCCCGTCCCTCCTCTCCTCTTCTTCCCGAGATGCAGTGGCTACGGGTCCCTCTTCCTCCTCCTGCCTCAGCACAGACAGTGCGGCCTGCCGGGTGACCTGCCTATGCATTTGTGGGCAGCCCGCACCTCCCTGCCGTCAGTCGTCATAGCAGCCGGTCACCCATGGTGCCAGTAGACGGGGCCTCCTGGGTCATGGCAGAGCACCATCACATCCAGGTCACAGATGAGGACGCTGAGGCCGGGGTGCGGCCCCACACCCTCATCTGCAGGGGATGGACCTGGGCCATGATCTGCCCCCAAGGTCCCGAGCCCCTGCCGCCTGCTCCCGACAGCCCCGCAGCTTTCTGCACGGCTGGGCTTCCCGCCTGTCTGCTGGCCGCTATTGACAAACACATGGCTGACTCACAGGGCAAAAATACACTCTTCCAGAGTGCGGAGTTATTAAAAGTTTGTTGTGTCTACAGGGCAGCTCAGCGGCTGCCCAGGCCCAGGCGGCCGGCTGGACGCAGGATAAATATAGAGCTCGGTCTCCTCTCGGCGGCCCAGGGTCCAGTCCAGCTCCCTCTGCTGTTGGGGCGAGAGGCAGAGCTTGCATCTGGATCCAGGGGACCGATGACCACACTGTGCTGTCCTGGCCTGGCCATGGGACCCTGGCCGAGTCACCGCCCTCATCCCACAGTGAGGATCATGAACTGGAACAAGCCCAGTAGAGGTGGACACAGCTTCAGCCCGGGCCAGAACTGGTGTTGGGACAGGCAGGCCTGGCCCGCACCAAGCTTGCAAAGGAGTGCACCTCTGTGCTCCTGCCCTGGCCTTGGGTGGGGGTTGGTATTTCACTTCTGTGACCACAGGGGACTGGGGCTGGGCTGGACGGGGGGATCATGGCTTTGTGCCCCCTGCCACAGTGCCAGGACATGGACTCAAGACCACGTAAGCTGGAGACCTGCTGGGCAAGGACTGAGGGGAAGGAGTTTCCCTGGCTGGGTGGCGTGGGGGTCGGATGCAAGCCCGGGGCTGAGGCAGCCATTCTGCCTCAGGAGGACAGCTTACACCAGAGAGCAGAGCCAACAGAGAGGAAAGCGGGGAAGCCCCTGCCCCAGACACGGCTGGAGCTGTTGAAACGTGTTCTGGTCTCGGTGGGCGGGTGAGCCACGGACACCCCACGCCTTCCTGAGCCGGCTGAGGACGCAGAGCCCTGCCGTGACCATGTCACCCTCTCCTGTGTACTTGTCTCCTCTCACAACCCCGCCCTCGGACGTGTGACAGTGTAGACGAAAACCAGGGCACATTCACAGGTTAATAAGGCATCACAGTGAAAGAGGAGGGCCCCGGGACCCTGCCGAGCCCGTGCCGCCCTGGAGCACACTCACCCCCCACCCCATGCCGCCCTCCCGGGGCTCCAGAGTCTTTCCCAGGGGTCTCTGTGTGCTGTGCTGGTGCCTCCACGTCCCCAGTCCGTTCACCCCAGTGGGTCGCTCTTGTGGTCCTTTGGACTCTGGAGAGGAGCCATGAGCCGCACGGTACCAGGTCCGTGGATACACGGAGGAGGACACGGCGTCCGTTTCCACTGAGCAGAAGCTGTGGCGAACATTCCCATTCCAGATGGACTCGGTCATTGAGGCCGGACGAGGTGATGGAAGCCTGAGCCTGAGAGGGTTCCCAGGGGCTGTGCGGCCTGTTAATGATCACACCTGGAAACGGACGTGAGCCCTGGGTGTGACAGAGCCGTGGGATGGCTGAGTAACGAGATGGTCAAGCAGATGTCCACTCGCCACACACGCACGCCTGGGCACACAGAACCGGACACTGCGCCCTGCCAGGCGGCCCCGGCCTCGGGCAGATGCCACCCCTGCTGACTTCGGGGTTGAGGTCTGGGTGTCCTGCTTGAGGGGTCAGGTGAGGACCCCCATCAGTGTCATTTAGGCCGTCACTGTGTGTGCAGGGGTCCAGATGGGAGTCCCTATCCTTGCTGATTTCCGTCTTTAACACAGCACTGGGCTCCATCCCCAGCCCTTCTTGGTTAAAGTTTGAAGACAAGTTCTGCTAAGCTGCCAAGCTAGCCCTGAAAGTATGATCCTCCTGCCTCAGCCTCCTGAGTCGCTGGGACCATGCCTGTCACTCTGATGGTTCTGAGTGGATAACTTGGGCTTTGGCATCTTGCAGCCCTGGCTCCTGAGACAAACACATGCAAGATGCTCAGGCTGACCTCAGCCTCTGGATGGGGCGCCACGTCTCCTGAGATTTGGACATGTTCCCGCAGGCCTGTCTGCTGAATTCTCGGGTGCTGGCTGGGGGGTGTGGGGGGACTTTTAGGAGAGGGCTGAGGGAGGGAGGGAGGTTCTGGGGCCACAGGACCCCAGCCCCTCCTCTCTCTGTGTGTGCCCTCTTGCGCCACCACACCCCGGCCCAAGACTGTAGGGCCTGGTGGCCATGGACTGCACCCCTGGAACCATGAGCCAGCGTGGACCTTTCTGCTCCAGCGGGGATGACCTCTGGTGTTTTCTCACAGGACCAGAAAGCCCACCACACAGGCCCTCAGGACTTCCATTCTTCCCAGGCCCCTCTGTTCCAAGCCTGCAGGTCTGCATGAGCCTAGAGTGAGGCAGAGTGTGGAAGCCTGTATTGCTCCAGCTCCAGGAGAGGCCCTGCGACGCCGTGGGTCACTACAGTGGCCGGCGGAGGGCAAGGGCTTGGCCTTGTGGGCTGGGTGGGTCCTCAGGTGGCCAGAGATGTCTGTGCTCCCACACGGGATTTAAACTGGCAAGAATGTGTGGGACAAGGGTTTTGGTGTGTGGTGCCAGGCTGTGCCACACCTTTCTGATGCCCACAGATTGATAAGTAGGCTACGCTAGCAAACAGGTGGCCCCTGGGTGTTGACAACGCTCTTCCGTTCACGTCTGTGAGCGCCACGAAGCCCTGACCTCTACAGTTCTGCTCAGCGTTCCAGCACTTGGCATGCTGGGTCCAGACTGTTCTTTCCCAAAATAAGACCCAAAGATCCCCACCCAGGTGGAGCACATCTAATCTCAGCTATTTGGGAGGCTGAGGCAGGAGGATTGCTGGAGCCCAGGAGTGGAGGCCAGCTTGGGCAACAGAACAAAACCTTATCTAAAAAATACAATCTTCCAAGCATTTGGCAGCAGTCTGACTGTGCTGGGCCCTTGGTTTTGCCTTCCTTGAGGCACCCGTGTGTCCCCTAAGATGATCTCAGGGCCGTGGGTGTAGTTCGTCCCATCACTAGGGACAGAGTCAACCCCGGGCTCCCTCGGCCGCCCTGGTCCTCTGAGCGGACGCTCTCTCTGGCTCCAAAGTGAAGGATGGCACACATTGACTGCCCTCCGTCGCTGGCCACTGCTGACAGCTGCTCCCTGAGGGTTAG